TTCTCTCTTTTAAATTTGAGGGAGAGGAAATTTACAAATCCATGGGGTTTTCTCAAAGAAGCTTTCCATTGTTGTTTTTTGCTGTTTCATTTTGATATATATTTTTTTTAATAAATATATATGGTTTGGGTATTTTTTTCTCAAGAAACAGCACTTTCCACTAGATGGAGACAGGACACTGGATAACTTTGTCCTCCAGGAGGACACTGACAATCAGGAACACAAAATAAAGCCCAAACATGAGAAAGCCCAGGATTTTATTCATCCTCCACTTGCAGAAAGCAATGGAGAGGATGACAAAGAGCAGCATGATGAAGAGGAGGACAATTGCACAGAACAGACCATTGCTGCTGACTGCCACCGGGGCAAAACGGTTAATCACAGCATACAGGAGCCACGGAAGAGGAAGGCTGTTAAGAAACAGAAAAATAAATTTGAAACATTGGAGAGGTGCAGAAAGGGACACTATAAAGTTTCTGGAGGCAGTTCAAAATACAACCAGATTTTTCCTTCATAAAGTGAGGCTGGAAGAGTTTAGCTCAGAATTCTAATATGTATATAAATCTAATTTGTCAGCTTGCTTGTGGTTCTTGCAGAGAACACAAGGGATTTGGTCTCCCTACTGTTCTATCAGTTACACTGGTGAATTTGATTTCCCTTGGCTGACAAGCCAGGTAAGCAGGAAGACCCTTTCCATTTGTTTCTGGATTTCAGATCATCTGCGGAAGAATCTACTTCTACTTTCCAAGACCCTGCATGGCAGGAGGCTAGGTCACATAAAGACATGTCCTTGCCATGAAGAACCAGCACTCTGCAAGGCACTGCCCTCAGAATTTGGCCCTTAAAAGCCTTGATAAACACTTACTGTATAAACCTGTGTTAAAACGTGAACTTCAGCTGAACACCAGCTTAATTTCTATTTCTGTATTTGCTGTCATTGCATTTCTCATCTCTGATGTCACAGAATGAGGCACCATGCCTCTGGAAGACATCAAGCTGAAATAAATATTTAAGCCACTGATCGGAGCTTAGCAGGCTTAGAAAGCATCAAGAGAGCTGTCAGAAGACAACAACCTTCAAACTTTGAAGAAGCAGCTCAAGACATAATAATTTATTACAGCCTCAGTACTAACTACACCAGCCTACAGTTCAACTGTGCCATTTTTATTATAAATATACCAGGTCTAGCAGACTGGTGCAGGACAACAATGTTTCCACTGGCAGAAAGTTTAAAAATTTAGGAAAAGTAAGAAAGCATTTCAAAAGAGGAAAGTTTTGTAATGCAGTCTATGTGCTCTAAGTTGAAGCACATGGTAGTGAATAATGTTTTCATATATTTTGCTTACAGATCTAATTTCAAATACTTCATGCTTCTGGATTAATATAAAAAAGTGGCCCAGTTTTTCTGCTGTGTCCAAATGTACTGCTATTAGCTAGCAGACAGAGTAAAAATGCTATTTACTATCTGCTCTAACTTCATGATCCCTTTTTATACCTGTGCATTTGCTGGTATATTTTCAGAAGCAAAACCCATGATCTGTTCTATGACTATGCTGTTTGGGACTATGACTATGACTAGACCTGTTCTTCTGCATGTGTGAAAGCAAGAAACAGCCAAAGATGGAGAAACTGAGAGTATGGGCATGACTCTGTGGGAATAAAGACAAAGTTTGTCTGTATATTTTCTGCACATTTTTAAAACAATGATGCATAGATTACAACATTTCTGGTCCTGATCTACCTTGGTATCAAAAAGGAATCTGAATTCTTATCACATGCTACACATCATTATCCTAGAGGTGCTGTGAAGCAGTAAATAGCACATTTGTGCACAATTTTATGTTGTTTCGCATTGTCAAGATCTATACAATGATTCCTTTGTGGTAACAGAGAATTAGTTTGTAATTTGGGATTTGCCAGGTATATAAAAAATTATGTCAGCAACAGCCTAAATGAGCTACACAAGACAATGACATTCGGATTTTATTACAACAAACATGTTGAATACTGCAGAGGCAATTAATTGTTCCTGATTGTAATTTATAAAGAAAGTGCTAGTATAAGCACAATGAGTGGTAATGTAAGCAAACAACAACAACCTGACAAAAACATAAATAGCTTCAGAAATTCCTTCTTGGAACTCTTGCAGGCTTTTTAAAGTGCAATTCACTTGCCTAGGCAAGTGTAATATATCAAAGACAGAATTAGGCAGCAGATTTGTAACAATTCCATCTTGCAAATGTCTGAGCACTTGAAATAATAACATCCATTGCATATTTGCAATGCTCTCCTTTTTAAGTATCAATAGCAGAAAACTATTGTAGGCAACACCTTGGCAAAAACATGGCAACATGCTAAGAACAAAAGACTTGTTGACACAATTTTCTTGCTGTAAGACTTACCCCACTGTGATGTCAAATATGTTGCTTCCAACAGAACTGGATACAGCCATGTCCCCTAGACCTTTGCGTGCTACAATAACACTGGTAATCAGATCAGGAATGGATGTGCCAGCAGCTAGAATAGTCAATCCCATGATTTCTTCACTAATACCAATGGTCTCTCCAACCTAAAAGGATTAAGCAAAACCAGCAAAAAGTCCTGCGGTGAAGAAATGCCGCCTTCTGTAAACCTGTTTAACCAGTAATATTATCCTGGAGCTTGCTGACTAGCTTGGAGAATGCAGGCAAGATTGGAGAATTACTTGTTTTCACACATTTCCACATTTCAGGAGAAAGATAAAATTGTCAAATAGAACCAGTAGGTATTGACAAGCAGTTGCTGATGGCTCTGATGTTACCAGAATGATGATGTCCTGTGGTCAGGACAGCCACAGCTCTCTGAACTATTTTCCATTTACTGAGTAGTGATTTCATCTATGGTTGCAGTTCCTAAAATAAAGCACTACTCGGCATGAGATAGATGATACATTCTGATTCTAAATGATCTCTCACAGTGCAAAACACAGCACAGGGCTTGTGGTTTTGTACCAGCGTCACCTCCTTACCTGATGTGCCCACCAGACCATTAAGTAAGAAAAAAATGCAATCCAGCTGATAGATCCAAAAAATGTAATAGGAAAAAATTTTCTTGACCTCTGAAACAGAAACAAAGAGAAACAGTGAACACCTATGTTGAAGGCTGAATTGCTGTAATCTTATTTTCTTCTGAAAATGAGAGTGGCCTCTCATTTTTTCTGATCACCTGTTCTGACCAGCTATTCTGATCATCATCACATGATCAAAATAAATGCCAAGAGTAGTAAGAAATTGACTCCCTATACTTACCATTGCCCTATTCTTCCAACCACTTCAGTTGTAAAATAAATTCTCCTGATATCTTGTATGATGAATAGCAAGTTTTGGATTATCATTTGTATCACATTCTCTTATGCCACATTTTGCATATGTGTTTAGCTTAATGGTGGTTTCACTTCTACATTTAATAATAACTTCATGCTTATTCAGAAAGAATGTTTTCAAATTGCTAAAACACATATCCACACCTTTCATTAATAACTTTGTGCAACACCTTTCACAGTCTGTATAACAAGGGATATGACAGAGCTGGAAAAATACACACTAGTATGTACTAGGGCATTTACTTTTATTAGAAAAAACAGCCTACCTCCTCAATTAGAACATGAGATACATTAAGCACATATTTGCCATGCTTTGTTTTGTAGAGAAGTTTGTTATAAAAACATGGAAAACACACTCTGAGGCCCTTCAATGAATTAAAAAAATCTGTGTAACACCAAAGTAAATTCATTGTCATTCTCAGTGTCTCCCTTACTAATGTCAAACTTTGAATAGATATCATTCTTGCAGCCGATTAATGAGTTATATTCAGATTAATGATTTATTTTGATTTCTGTTCTTTACAGTCTTGAATTATCCATATTTTCTATTGGCTAGATAAATGTAACAAAAAGAGATCAAGTTAACTACTAAAGGAAGGAAATGGTACTGCAGTACTGTAGCAGGCAATCACTGTCTAAATCAAATTAGTGTTTAAAATGAAATTTGTACTGTGAATGAATGCTACCAGTCTTGAATGAAACCACAATGTTTATGGGCATCATCCTTCTGAATATAGATCCTCACCCCAGATGACTTCTGATGTGCCACTAGCAGAGCCCTATAAATTATCATGAATAACCAGTAGGACTGGTTGTGGAAGTTACACCACTTTGAATACTTGTTCCATCTGCTGCTCCACTCGGCACTATCTTTTGCTGTTAAGCCCTTGCTAAATCCACTTCCACTTGTCTCTGCAGGGGCCTCCAGAACTTTTGGGCAGCAGACCTTGCCTGGACCCCTTTCCATTGCAGGATGTGCCCCTGCTGCACCAGGAGACTCATTAGCCTAAGGGTGATTACTAGGTGTGGGAGCAGCTTTCCCTAAACATGATTTTTGGAGTGAAAATACTATTTGGATTTTGCCAGTGCATCTTGCTCAAGCAAGAAGAAGATGATGATGATGATGATGATGATGATGATAATAATAATAGTTAATAAATAAAAAGCCCTCTGTTTTAGGGAGTTTACAGAGCTGCACAGCCAGCTTTTTTTTTTTTTTTTTTTTTTTTTTTTTTTTTTTTTTTTTTTTTGTATAACAGACAAAAGAGGCATTTACATGGGACAGCCTCAAGTTTAGGAACTGATCAACATGGGTAGCTGTGGATTAAGAGGTGCTCAGTGAATTGGGCTGGCCATTAGAGCTGGTCATGTGGGCCTGTCTTTTGTCATCTGAACCAGAAAAGAGCAAGGTTGGTCTTCAGCTCGTTGAAATTACTAATGGAAAAATGTAAAGTCAGCAATGGCAATTGTGCACACTCATCTACAGGACAATTAAAAGGTCTGTATCTGCTCTAGAAGCAGGTGCAGCTGGAAGCTGTGTTACAGAACACTTACTCACTCCCTGTGGGCACTTTGTATAATGCTAAAGCTCTCCTGAAAGCTGAGCTTGTAAGCAATGACTAACATGACCTATAGAAACTACAACTGACTATACATAGGAACACACATTAAAGATGGTGCAGATTTAACAACTTCCCCCCCAAAGCCCTCATATATAAAAAAATAACTGGACTTCTCTTGGAGTAAGAAAATAATTCCAATAGGTGTTTTTAATTAATTATCTTTAAATATAGGCATAAATATAAATATTATTTATGTATATAAATAATTAGCCACAATGGTACCTGGAAACATCCTTTTCATACAGATTCCTTTACTGTCACAAGCACTGTTTCTAGAGCTGCTCAGGGTACTTTGGTTGATCTGCTTCTTTAGAGAGCAAACAGAACTACTTTTTCAAAACAGAGTTTAAATTTTTATCAAATCAGAAAATCTGATAACAAGCTTCCAATGTTTAAACCTACTCAGATGGACTTCTAATTTTAAAATCAAAACTTTACATGCACTGGGGACAGAAGACCTTAGTCTGAAAAGGAACACAATTTAAAAGGAACACAAAGATGTCTGTTAAAACAGTGATCTGACACCAGCGAGAGGAGAACTGAGTCAAGAAGGGATAAACAATCTGAGCAGCAATTTCCTTTTTCTAAACTAAATAGCTAACACTTCTTTTTCACCATTTTTAGTAGTCAACTCTTTAAACTTTCAACATGTTTTGTCTTCCTTACAAAAACTGGGCTTTTCTGACAACACGTATGGTGAATGAGATGATGAAGCAATAAGCTTGCTGTAGCTGGTCACAAAATTCTACAGAGAGCACCTCATGGCAATGGAATTTGAATAATCACTATACAACACTCAAGATACGAGCATACATTGGCTTACACAGAACTAATACAGCAAGAGCTGTACTGGCCAGTAATAGCTCTCTGTCAGTGTGATTATATATACCAAATGGTTCTTCCAAAGTAACAAGACATTGCCCAAGTCAGACACCCACAGAATTTGTATGGCTAAGAATTCCAATGCAGTAACTTTGCAGCATGTGTAATCCTAGCCAGTATTAGCTAATCCTCTCCCAGTAAAATTAACTGATAAGCAGCAGTTCAAGACTAAGAGTACTTTAATAGACTTAACAGTTTAATTACCTGTTTTAAAAGGGGGAACATCACAATTCAAGAAGGACAAAATTTAAAGCCTGTACATATTACAGGTGATGAAACCAAGAATGGACTCCATAGATGCTGCTATATAATTTGCATACAGATGAAATTCTTAAAAAGCAGTAGAGTGCTGATTATTTTTTGGATGCTGGATTTTATTTCCAGAGTATAATAATAATACTACTCATGCTTATTTAGTAACTAATGACAGCATTCCTTTGAGATTTATCTCATCGCAATTCCCTAGCTCTTGAAAATATGGAAAGCTGCTGATTCCAAACATTTTCCTTAGTCAGAGACATTAGTCAGAGACAGCAGACAGCAATACTTTTCTCCACCTTTTCTGGTAGCTGTTGTGATGGTTGCCTTGTAAAGACAGAGATCCCAGTTTATTACCAATTGGTTCTGTTGTGGTCATGGTAACAGAAAAATGAGAAAAGCCATGGCTCATGCAGTTCATATGTTTTTTTCTTTTAACAAAAGAGAAAGAATTTAGCAGTTTCACTATAGGTTGGTTGGATTGGTACTGTTCTTGTCTATTAGCGATCTTATGGACATTTTTCTTGGTACATTTCTGTATTGATTTCATGCCAGTGTCTGAAAAACAGGACTTTAAGTAGCAAGAATGATCCAAGTATGAAGGTTTTTCTTTTAAGAGCCTGGTCCTGAAAGATAGTGAGCATTTAATAATTTGCAGAGTAACTGTCTTAATTTTAGCCAGTATTATTACCAACATATTTAACCTGAATGAATCATATGTTTGTCTCATACATAAATTTATCTGCATTGTAAGCTTTGATTTTCCTTTCATACTTGACAGTGCTTAAATCTGATTACTCAGAACCTGCTCCTGTAACTGGATCTGTGCAGGAACATCTTGTCCTTGTCCCCTTGGTAACAGTGCATCTCTGTATGGCAACAAGAGTTCATGTACCTCTTCATTTGTAATGGGAATTTGCAGAGATACAACAAACTGCCCCACATGGGTCCAGTGACAGCAGGACTGGAGTCCCGATAGCCATTTTTCTGGCGTGTTAACACAAAGGGATGGACAGTGCATATGGCTATAATATAAGAGATTATGTTCAATATCTGGCACTGACCCACATCAGTCATGTCATTTTCCTTTCAATTTTTCAATACCCCTTACTGCAGAAGATGGACAGTTACATTTGTAGTCTTTACAGAGCCACAGGGGAAATAAGGTATTAGTAAAGGAAAAATACCCATTATTGTTCAAAACACCCAAACAAAAAGTCAGGTAGAAAAGTCCTCAAGGGTATATCTACCTCTGGTGTACTGCCAGAAACATTACTGATGTTACAGTAAGGATTTTAACATATACTGGCTTAATGTGAGCAGATATTATCAAGGCACTAAACACATTAAAACATGTCAGCTATTGCATCTGTAAGAGCTGAACTAATGCATAATCTAACTATATAAAAATCTGCATATGTATACACCCAAGTATAATAAGGCAGCAAAGATTTTGCTAACTTTATTGATAGAAACTTGTATATGAAATAATTTTTCTAGAGTTCTGGGTGTCATGCAGCTAAATATAGCTTGGTATAGTACAAGTAAATGCAGTCAAACCATCTCCATTATGTGGAGGTAAAAAATACTTTAGAAAAGACACTCTAGGAGGAAAGGAGAATCATTTTGGAAAAGTGAACACCCACAGAGAATGTCAAAGGCTCCATACGGTCTCCCAAGTCAGTATATAGCAGAAAGGCATTCATTTTATATATTGACATGCTAATCTGAGCATCCTGATGCAGAATTTGGGTTTCTGACTAAAATTACCATGCATGTAAATCAAGCCCCTGATGGTAGACTTATTTACAAAATCTATTTAAGTATTATTTTAGGTTTGTTTTAACTTTTGCCCCACAGGTTTCATGGTGAGTTGCTTCCTGATGCACATGCTGAGCTGTGATATTGGGTTTTGGTTTTGTTATGAGGGGAATAGTGGGGATGGCACACAGCCATAAATGAGGATATTTTAAAGACAAACACACTAATGAAGTGTCCTTGAAAAGTTAGACAGTTTATGCAACTATCTGGTTAATTCTTTGACAGCAATGTTTAAAGTAAGCAGCTTGTCATACTGATACAGTCTGTTATCTCTTTTGCTATCTCTACATGCAATTAGAAACTACATTTCTTTTACTTCTGTATAAAAAGTACTCCTTTCAGTGAATGTAATTTCAAAACTCTGTTGCCCATTGAAGTATCTGGCATACACAACTGTGCTTATCTTTTGTGTTACAACAAGGTATTTTAGTTGTAGTATGTCAGCATGCCAGTTCTGTTGGTGAACAATACTAGTGTTAATTATCACACACAACACACAGTTGCACACTTCTTGAGATATTTGCTTTCCAAAACCATTATTGTAACAACTGTTCTCATTTGTACAGTACAGAGTATTGAATAAGTCTATATGTCTATTGATGTTAACTTCAGATTTTCAAAATTCAAAATAAGGCACATACTTATTTCTTAGCAATACTTTCTCATTTTGGTCCAAATTGTGAAAAAAAAATGCAGAGAAGGTTTTGAATGATAAAAGGAGAGCATAAATACAGAAATAAACAATTTTGAAATTTATATAGTATGCTCTGTTACCAAACAAAATGTGGATATCAGAGTTGTTTGAAAACTTTAAGAAAAGCAAGCTTAAAGATTGGAAGGGAAAATGTCAGCTTATATCCCTTCAGAAACCTTTAGCTAAAAACAAACCAGAGGTCTTATTTTAGCTTGCTTCTTGCACTGAATTGCAGTTTTTCAATGTGTGGGATGGGAAAGTTTTTCAGTGTGTGTGTGAGGAGGAAAAAAGAATTCAGAGTGTTGATTTATAATGTTATAAGCTGTGCATTCCTCTCTTGCAGCAGCTTTAAATCTATTTTTGATCCAGAAAGGAAAAGGACTTTTTCAGCTCTTGACTTTTTTTCTTTTACTTTCCATGAGCCTCCCCAGTCAGATCTATTTGTGTATGTGAATATAAAAGTGGCAAGACTTTATAACTTTTCACAATAAGTCATTTTTATTAATAATCAGTCTTACATTACTTCAAGCTGTGTTTGGGACAAAACTAGCAAGTATTTTAAACATGGAAGGACTTATGGATCTTTTCATAATATGAAAATTAAAAGATGACAAGTAGAAGAAATAGGTGTAGTAGAACATGTATTTAAGAGAAATGTGTATCATTATTTTTGAACCACAGAGAAAATTTAAACAGTCTAAAGTCTTTCCAGTTGTACCCTTTAGGGCACTGCAGATGGACAGACTTCCTCAGCACTTATGTGATATTAAGTGGAGATCTGGAAATGCAGATATGAAGGCCCCAAATAAATTTTAAGAGCTTTCACTCTGTGTCATAATATATTAGTGAATACAAATGATAATCTTTAAAGAGCTATTACCAGCCAGTTGCCCATAAGCACCCATTTGATGTTGTGACCTTTTCTTCAAAAAAGAAACTATTTTTAAAAAAACATTAGCTCTATTTCTACAAAAATCCACTACAGTCCCTTTGAGCATTTAGCTAGGGAGAACCCTGATGTGCAGAACACACTGACTTATAACAACTGTTACTTACAGGTTTTCTGACATCTGGGAGGGAAACCCACAGTGGAAAAACAATGGGTAATACAAGAAGGTAGGTGAGTTGCTTGCGTGGGGTGTCAGGCCAGGCCAGGCTGAGAGGCTGGTCCTCATCCTCTTCATTCTGTAAGAAAAGTGGCAGTGAGCATAATAGTAAAGTGGATGAATGAAGTTAGGGATTCTTTATAAAGAGGAGTCCAGAGGACTGTGCTGTGTTTCAGTGAAAACCCATGGGGTCTGAAAACATTGTATTAACACCACACCTACCTAACAACATTATCTAGGAAACAGTAAAAATACTTTGGCCAGACTATGAGGTATCTCTGCAGACAGGCTGCCTGAGGACATCCATCTGTGGTTATTCTGACAGTGATGCTGGTGATGCATGGAGCCCATGGAAGGGAACTTTGTTCCTCTGATACCCCTTCCCACAGGTTCTCCCCTAGGATGTGTGCTAGCCTAGTCAGGGATCAAAACTGGTCACAGCTGCATCAATCCTGGGTGCACAGATAGAATAGGGAGAGGGAGGCGGGGAGTGAGGAGAGAGAGAGAGAGAGAGTATATGTGTGTGTCCGCGCTCACAAACATATATATGCACGTAAGCATGTGTGTGTATGTATATACGTATACGTATACGTATACGTATATCTAACTTTTTTAAACTTCTGTAACTTAAAAAATTAGTATGGGAGGGAGGGAGGGACGGAGGGAGGGACGGAGGCAGGCATGGATATTTTTATATATATATGTATTTTCTTTTTCATAGGACCATAGGGTAATTCAGGCTGGCAGGGATCTGGGAATCTCCACTGCCCAACTGAGGGGATCAGACCAGGCAGTTCAGAGCTCTGCCCAGTCAAGATGTGAAACCATCAAGGATGGAGATGGCCCAGCCTCCCTGGACCCCAGCTCCGCCACTGGGCTGTCCTCATGGGGAAAAGGATTCACCTTATATTCAGCCTGAGCCTCTCATTTTCAGAGCAGCCACAACGCAGCAGTATTCTTAACAGCTTGGTGTTAAAACTAAAGGAAAGACATTCCTCTCCTGTTTGTGTAGCTGACTTCTACATCAATCTCTAGTCTAGTTTTATGTGTTTGCTGTTCACCTGTCATCTCTATTACAGAGTAGGTGTATAGTGACCTTCTCCACAACAGAAAACCTTTTGGCTGCCACACACTTCTCTTTCCTTAGACTGCTTCTGCTAACAAAACGGAGCCCTCTCAGAAGAGGGCCCTGCCACAGAAAGAAAGCAAGGTGAGCATGAGTCAGCCTTTTGGGTGTATGTTTTAGAGTAACTTCTTACCTTTTAACATAGGTAGGCAATGTCTCCAGAACTGCACATGGATCTAATTTATACTACAGAATCAGGCAACATAAAAAATGGCCTTAATGCAAATCTTGTTAAGCCTCTGGAAAGATTCCTAGAGAGCTCAGTGAAAGCTAAAGGAGTCCAGTGGTATGCAACTACTTCATGTAGTGTTCTTGTTTTCTTCTTTTGCAAAAAGATAATAATTGAGAACTCAGTCCTCTCTGCAAGTTACTCTTCCCATAGATTTATAATACAGGTTTCTTGTCAGTTACTGTCCTGTCTTAAGATTGCTTACATAAACCTTATGACAATATTATAAGAAGCAGTCATCTGTATGACCAAATCAGTTACTTCTTTCTATGCAAAAGAGTTGATGAAATGTCAGCATATGTAGGTACTGTTCATAACATTCTCTACTTACTGTTGACTTTGATTGAAGAACGGGTATTAATTATTCCACTATTATGAACTCATTAATTGTTCAACTACTCATCTACCCAAACTGATCAGTACCTACAGAAGCAAGCCCAACTCTTAGCTCAGGATCTTCCATTATGACTAAATCAACTGACACAAATGGACTGGAAGCAAATCCCTGTTTACCTCTTGACGCACTAGCAGACTGCAGCTACTTTGACAATTATGTGTTGATGTCAAGAGAAGACAATACTTTGTTAACCTCTACACTTTGTGAAACTTCCAAGTTGCATGATTGTAAGATGACAGTAAAGTGAACAAGTTATAACAGGAATAATCATTAAAAGATTTTAAAACTGTACATAGGCACAATTTGTCACACCCCACACAGTACTTAAAAGGCTCCTGAGCAGCACAAGAGGCTAGCTTTTGCCTTTAACATTCAGGTCTTTACCAAAGTTATCAGATAATCTGTATTTCACTGCTGCAATCTACTGAAGCTTGAGTTTTGGGGGACTGGGCTGGTGCAGGAGTTTGTGGGGCTACTTCCTAAAACCAAAATCCATTCCTTTTCCATGCCAGCAGATGCTGTTGGGGTGGTAAAATCGATCTGATATGGATGCTTAGTTTTGAAATATGAAGACTCAGTTAAAATCTGAGCACAAGAGGACAAATTGAAGGGTTGTCTAGGTAACTTTCTGAGTGTCCTGTGTATTATTCAAGTAGTGGACTCAGCTGGAATAAAGCTCCATAAATGACTGCCTCATAAACAACACTGAGTGACAAAGTACTTTCTGAATTGCCATCTTTAGAGATTAGCCGTGATTAACAACCCTATTTAATCACAACAAAAGCTTTACATTAGTCTGAGTTTGCACATGAGTCTGCAAAATGAATGCAAATTAATACCCAAGTTGGTTCATGCAGTATTGTGCCAGTACACACTGTACTTCAACACTAGGCCTTCATTCTGGTCTCATGTCTGTGTCAGACAGCACTGAGCTAGTTCAAGAACATGGGCAATGTGAGCAGCTGTAGCAAAGGACCACAAAGTATTACATATGGAGATTGACAGATGTCTCATGAGAAACCTTGATCCACCTGTTTGAGATCTTTTCACCTTCAGGTTTTATTGCCTCATCCCTCTCCCTAAGACAACTATCCCCAAAAGATAAATCCAAACTCAAGCTTACAGTGCAGTAGAGCAAAACCCTTTTCCTCACTTGTTTAACTCCAGAATGCATTACAGGTGCCACAGACTGGATCTCCATTTCCTAAATCAGAATCAGCATTTGATTTTCAAATGCTGACCTTTCAAAAATCAGTGGAAGTTAGGCAGTTCAACATATTTGGAAACCTACCTTCCATGAATTTCAAAGCAATGCTGAACTATCCACTGAGGTTGAAGACATGAAAGGGTTGTAATCCTGGCAGCTATAAACCCATGCAAATGTGACTGTCATGCTCTAGACTAAGCAGTGGTAATATAAAATGACTCAGCACAGATTTATGGCAGAGATTGTGTGCACTGTCTGTGGTTCCAGTCTACCTTCAATGTTAATACTGAATATGCATTCTCACAGTTCATAGAAACTCATTCTGAAACTATAGTTTTGATATATTTTAGTCTGTATGATGAAAACTCAGTACTTGCAAAGTTCGTTAAGGATTCTCCTCTGCAATTGTTAAGAAGAAAAACAGTGATAACATGATATACACACTGGAATTCAGTTGCCTAAACACACATATAGTGGTGTTATTTTAGATACTCTCTGCTATCTCAATTGACCTCCACATGCTCCATCAGAAGTGGAGCTAATTTCTGACACACCTGCCACCACTATGCAAAAATCTCCATTTCTATAGGCCAGCTCAGGTGGTACTACCTACCCATCTATACACAAATGAGTCCTACCTCAAAAATCATTCCCTGTTATGACTCTGTATCTAATCAGCTGTAAAGATACTGACATGAACATATAGGAAAGCTGCATCAGCTGACAATATGAACTGTGAGGATAATCCAATATCCACACAAAGTTTCCTGTGAGTCTAAAATTAACAAAAACACAGGTCATATTAAATGTTGTCAAGTAAAACCTGAAGCTGTACAGACAATCAGAGTTCTCCTATATTTCCAAGTCCATTTCAGTGTCTTGCCTGAAAGTATTGTCTGGAATATGCCAGTGAAGGCAAAAATATTAGCAGTTTACTTATATTAATACAAATAGTATTAACTCTCTGTTCTGGATAGTCATTAAACACTTCAATACCGTTCCTGGCAGAAATGACTGGCATCAGTACCACTTAACTAGAATGATCTGAAGAACATTTCCCAGGCTGCATTTAAAGGTTGATGACTGGTAGGTAATAAGGGATTTGAGGGAGGTGAGAAAGGATAAAGTAGTTTAAAATATCTACATTTTTTTTATTATGTGGTAAGATTGACTGGACTAAAGAAAACAGAAACAGCCGTATTAAGTCAGACCAAACACACATTTAGACCTGTATCTTAATTCTGGCAATGGTCAGATATGGGCACTCTGGAAAGAAGTATTGGAAAGTGGCATATTTTTTCATCTTCCACAAATTCATAGAATCATAGTTTTATATAGGTTGGAAAAGACCTTTAAGATCATAGAGTCCAACTGTTAACCTAGTACTGTCAAGTCCACCACTAAACCACGTCCCTAAGTGCTACATCTACACCATACCTGCAGGGATGGTGACACAACCACTTCCCTGGGTAGACTGTTCCAAACCTTGGCAACCCTTTTGGTGAAGAAATTTTTCCTAATATCCAGTGTAAACCTCCCCTGACACACTGTGAAGCCATTTCCTCTTGTTCTATCTCTTGTCACTTGGGAGAAGAGACCAACATCCACCTTGCTACAAACTCATTTCATGTGGTTGAGCCTTCTTTTCTCGGGTCTAAACAACCCCAGTTCCCTCAACCGCTCCTCATAAGACTTCTTCCCTAGATCCTTCACCAGCTTCGTTGCTCTTCTTTGGATGTGCCCCAGCACCTCAATGCCTTTCTCGTAGTCAAGGGCCCCAAACTGAACACAGTATTTGAGGTGTGGCCTCACCGGTGCTGAGTACAGCGGGACAATCTCTTCCCTGTCCCTGCTGGCCACACTGGCCATCCATACAAGCCAGGATGCTGTTGGCCTTCTTGGCCACCTGGTCACACTGTCAGCTCATTCAGCCAGCTGTTGACCACCTCCTCCAGATCCATTCCACTGTGCAGCTTTCCAGCCACTCTTCCCTGAGCCCGTAGCATTGTGTGGGGTTGTTGTGGCTCAAGTGTAGGGCGCAGCATTCAGCCTTGTTGAATCTCAGCCCATAGATCCGGCCTGTCCACATCCCTCATAGAACCTTCCTACCCTCAAGCAGA